TGGGTGTTATACACAAACAATAAATCATGGAACACTACATCAAAAACTAATGATGTAATGTATGGTGATTAACATAACATAATAATAAAAAAATAAATAATAAAAAAAGAGAAAGTATAAACAAAACTGCTAAATGCATTACACGGCATAGAGTATATATTCTGTAAGTGCTACTTACCACTCTCTTCACAATGATGAATGTCTTCATGGAAATAGTTATCCAAAGTCCCAGCCCATTTGGTTTTCAGCAAATAGTACATACTTAAATCCATACGTGAAAATACTAAATCAACCACAGCTGATATTTCTCTATTAAAGTACAAAAATGTTTAATGCGTTGTCAATTTGGATATTCCCATATAAAAACAAATAAATATGAATGTAAGCATCACTGAGTTATAGACAGTGGAAATTAAAATTATATACTGAGAAAAATAATAATTGTTAAAAAAAAAACGAAATTTGGAGAGAAGTTCCATTGTCTTCTAGCCAACAGATACTGCCAATGAAGACTCTATTACCAATGTTTTTGGGAGAACGTCCATGATATGTGTATGTGTGTGTGTATAATTTTTTAAATCTCACAAACAGAAAATCTGTTTTGTTTTTTTTTTAAGATTTTATTTGAGAGAGAGAGCACAGGCAGGGGGGAGGGGCAGAGGGAAAGAGAGAAGCAGGCTCCCCGCTGAGCAGAGAGCTCAACATGGGGCTTGATCCCAGGACCCTGGGATCAGGACCTGAGTGGAAGGCAGATGCTTAACTGACTGAGCCACCCAGGTGCCTGTAAAATCTGTTTCTGGATGTAGTATTCCAAGAGTTCTTAAGCATGAAATCTAAAGCCCTGTCCATAAAATAAAAAATAAATTGGATTTTATTAAAATTGAAGGCTTTTGCTCTGCACAAGACGCTGTTAAGACCACCGAGCTGGTTTCAGGCAGTTTTAAATAGAGGTGTGGGAGAGCAGTGGCTAAAAGGAGATGGGCTTGTGTTGGAAGAGAGGATTGATTTTGGTCTTGAAAGAACCATTCTGCCTAATATTTATCATGTGGTAGAAGCAACTCAAATTGAAATCATGCAGATTTGGTTTTGAAATCCAGCCCTGGCTCAATGTTAACTCTGTAAACATGGCCAGTTTGGAACAACATGGTGTATTAATAAATAAATTTTATGTATTTGTAAACTAAGGATGATTCTGTCTTTCTTGTCTGCCTTACCGGGCTCTTTTCTGAGGATCAGATGAGACCATGTATGTGCAAATGTGTTAAAGAATATAACACTAATACAAGGTGAGGGGCTATTACAGTATTTCCACCCGCTCCTCTATACTGAGATGATCTGGTAACATTGTGTGAGAAAAAAATTTAAGCAGTATCACCTACTACATATTTATATAGCAAATAAAAAAGAGTCATTTATTGTTATAATTTTGTTAAGAGCAGACTCTTGAAGACTGAAAACTCAAGAGCCAAAGAAGGGGTGAGTTTTGGACACCATCACGGGTGGGAGAAGGGGGTAGGGTTTCTATTGGGATGGAAATGGGGGAGTCAGAGAAGGTTCCATAGTATTGTTTAAGCTACCCTGCATTTCTTCTTGTGATCTCTGCCCTGGGGGACCCCTCCATTTTGACGAATGTGGAGTGATTTAAAACACATCCACTTTAGTGTGTGGAGGAAGCAGGTGCAGGCTGATCCTGCAACTGGCTGATGGGAAAAGAAGTCCATCTCTAGTCTGTATTCTTGACCATGCAGAATTTATTGAGAAAGCACAGAATGTTGAGAGATAGGGTAAGGGAAGACAGAAGACAGAGAAGAATGGGTCACAGGGCATGGATAGGAGAGGAAGGGTGAGGTATTTGAACATCCTGTCTGACACTCAGGCAGAGACAGACGTGATTACTTATTGACTGGGGAAGAAACAAAATATAAATTAAGCCCTTTAGGGTGATGGAGAATTTCTACTGCCTGAGTCAGGGCAGGAAGCAAAGGCACAGGCTTCTAGATCTTGTTGCAAAAAGATTGGTTCCGACAGCATATAATTTGCATCCTGGTTCCATGGGAGAAGAGGTTCATAGATGGGCACATGTTCTCACACCCCTGAACCATGAATTGGAGTTTTCCACCTGAAAGAAGCAGAGACAGACTGTAGTGAGCAGAAGGCTTCCTCCTCCGACCTTTGCCTTCATCCATGGTTCCCAGTGTCCCCATGCAGGCATGACCAAGACCTCTAGCTTGTGTATTCTTCCTCCCCGTCTCCTTCCATCTGTCTTTTCTGGGCCTTTCCCCACATCTGTTGCCCACTGCCTCTATTGAGGGACTAGACAAACCACAAGGGAAGTCAGGCAGTGTGGTTCACAGGATGGCAGTAACTAAGATCCTTTATTTTGGGGATGAGGAGTGAGTATAAGGGTAGAGAGTATGGGAATATAGCAAGACACGTCTGGCAACCTGTGAACACTGACTGATAGACAATTGTTTATTCATTTATTCAGGATTTACTAAATGCCTACCATGTACTAAACATTGTACTAAGTGCTAGGAATATATAACCATGAACAAGACAGACACAGTCCTGAGCTTATGGTCAATGTCTCAACATCTCAAGGTGCAACTCATACATTTCTTTTGTAGGAAGAGAGCCAGTCTCCCTGTCTCCTTTTAAGACATCATAGGCCTGCTGGGAAAGACCTCTACCTCCCCATCAGTAGCTAGAATTCTGCTCTTAATTTAGGATAAGTTTCTCCTGAATCTCCAAATTTCTGGGGAATCACAGCTTGACCCCTCCTCAGGCTCCCACCACCCCAGCTGCTCCCAAGAGTACTTAAGTTAATTGATGTGTTTCTCTGGCAAAGACTGTATTATGAAGTCCCCACATACCTTCAAAGATCTTCTTTAACATGCATTGCTGGGAATTCTGAGTGGAGCAGACTCCCTCTCCACGAAGACATTTTCCATGATCATTCATATATGAGCATGTGTGGCAATTTAATATTGGGCCTGCAAATTTAAGACAAGCCTGACGAAATTTCCTGATGGACCGGGCATGGAGCCACAAATCACAAGGAGAGGAATGATGGGCCTGGATACAACACATTTCATTGTTTGGTTCTTGTTGGGCATTTGAGGGCCCTGCATCTGATAGAGCAGAGTCTCTCTTCTGGACCAGAGGAAATTCCTTCATTCTTACTGCTTCATCTATAATTTTCATTGCTGAAGAATCCCAAATTTCTCTCTATAATACTGATGTTTACTCCAATTCATATCCCCCACTGGCTTCTGCCATGTCTAACTCCATAGGAGCAAAGTAGAGCTTTAATCACATGACTGGCTTCCCTTTTTACTCCCCCATGATACTCTCACCCACAAGGCACACTTAGAGTAAGAACTGGCTGATTAGTAAGCTATGTTAGAATGCTCTAATGTTGCAAACTCTGTAAAGAGTGATCGTTCTCCATTTTCAAGTTGACCTTCAACAATGTCAATTTGTCACAAAGGGCATTCTTTGTGAAATGCTTCTATTTTGCCTCTTTTACTATCTCCATTGCCAATTCCCTAGTTAAGGAAGCATAAAGAAATAGGAAGGATGTGGGCTTTGGAATCAGACCAACTTAAGTTTGAATCCAAGGATTGCTACTTTCTAGCTATGTGATGTCAGCCCCACTTCTCTCATCTGAAGATTTGGAATATTACTACTTAGGCAATGGGAGGAAATATGAAGTGCTTATGTCTGGTAATATCTTGAGGGGTCATCAAACTCTGGATCTTGTTGTCCTTCCTTGAACAACCCCTTTTTAGTAAGAGCCAAAGAATTGCAGTTGTGCTGGGAAGTTCTTTATGAATCTAACAGACAAAAGTGTGTTCATGCTTTATTTTCCATGTTCAAACAAACAAAACAGAGCCACCAGCTCGAGGGCTAGTCATCTCCTTACAGAGTTTGCGAGGCATTCTAACATAGTTTGTTGAGGCAGATTTAGCATGAAGCTCATGAAAGTTAGTGTCCCATGAGCCCCTTCCAAGGGAGCAGTGGGCATTTGTATTTATAATTTCTTACATAGAGTGAAGTTGGAGGCACTGCTGGCATTTTGTATTTGTGTTATTTTTTTAAAGGGCCCTCAAAATTGTTTAGCCTTCAGGGCTACACAAAACCTATATCCTGCCTCCTGGTATTACTGTAAAGAGATGTAAAGAGTGTCTTTGAGAGAGCTGTCTGTGAAGTGTTTGTGAACTAGTCTTTCTTCTATACGCTCTCCTTAAAAGTTGGGTTTCTTGATGTGTTGCCTATTTCTCCCCTGAAGTCAAGGACTAGCACCCATCCAGATGCAATTCCCCTGAAAATGTGCCTCACCTGAAAATGTGCTTGATGGTGGAATGCCTGAAGACTGATCACCCAGTGGCTTTTCACCTGAAGCCTGTTCACTTGAAGCCTGTTCACCTGAAGCTTGTTCACCTGAAACCTGTTCACCGGAAGGCTTCTCACTGGAAGCTTGTTCATCTGAAGGCTTTTCAGCTGAAGCCTGTTCACCTAAAGCCTGTTCACCTGAAGGCTTTTCACCAGAAGACTGTTCACCGGAAGTCTTTTCACCAGATGACTGTTCGCCAGAAAGCTGTTCATCTGAAGGCTTTTCACCAGAAGGCTGTTCACCTGAAGGTTGTTCACCAGAAGCGTGCTCACTGGCAATATGTTCACCTGAAGTATGTTCACCCGTAGCATGCTCACCTGAAGCGTGTTCACCTGAAGCGTGTTCACCTGAAGTGTGTTCACTTGAACCATGTTCAGCTGAAGTGTGCTCACCTGAAGTATGCTCACTTAAAGTGCTCTCGCCTGCAGAAGTCTCATATAAAGCCTCACCATCTGAAGGGTTTCCAAGTGAAAAGTACTCACCTGAAAATTGCTGAACTGAAGCTTGATGATCCATAGAGCCAGGAGGCTCATCAGGCTGACCTGATGCTCCTGGGATGGAGAGGAACAAAAGAGAGATAGGGAAGGTGAGAGAAAGAATGTCCGGGATAAAGACTGCTTTTCTTATGCAATAAGGCTAACGTGGGATTTCTGGGTTTCCTGTGGGCCTGGTCAGGCATCTGAAGATATTGCAGATGTTGGAGGAAATCAACTAATTACCCAAGAGACCATGAAGGGCAGAGGTGTTAATGAAATACATGGAGACCGCCTCTGGCATTTAAATTTTTTTTTTTTTAATTTTATTTACCTGACAGAGAGAGAGACAGCGAGAAAGGGAACACAAGCACGGGGAGTGGGAGAGGGAGAAGCAGGCTTCCCGCCGAGCAGGGAGCCTGATGTGGGGCTCGATCCCAGGACCCTGGGATCATGACCTGAGCCGAAG